CCAATTTATTTCGATGAGACCTTTCATTTGAATACCATGAAGGGTAGAACATGTGTTTACCCCCCCCCCCCATTTTCTAAAGTTTCACTTGGCACCACTAAAGGCATGCGTATGCAAAATCTGAGACCAATTGGTTGTTTTCAATTAACCCGAGTTTGTTTAAATCGGCTCAGCCGTTTCGAAGATACAGGGTGTTCTTTACGGAAACCTTTGAATACCCCCCACCACTTCATTTTTAGAGATACAGGAAAAATCGTCAAACAAAAAAGGTTCAGGTCAACTTCAAAGACCGGACATTTTTTTGTTAGGTTAATATAGCAGAATTCACAGAAAAATCACTTTTTTAGATTCCAGATTGCAGTTACGCCCCCTAGCAGTCATTGCTGAAACTTAAAAATATTTTCCAGGTTTTTCTCGTGGCCGTTTTAGTAACAAATTTTTTTACCGCAAGCCTCTACAATGGACAGGTTCCCAGATACAGTACCTCGCATTCTTATTTGGCCACCCTGTACAACCGGGGGGTCTCGGGGCTATGGAATACCCCCCAGAAAAAAGAAAGATTTAATGTTCATTTCTTTACACATATTAGTTCTTGTGGGAGCTGGGGGGGTATTCCATACCCCCCAGACCCCACGGTTTTGCATGCCCCCCCAAAACGTTCAGCCCTAAAGGACTCTGTTATAGTTTCTCATAAAGAATACCGAGTCTTCGTTCCCTAATGAGTACCTCTATCCCACACAGGCTTCTGGTGTTACGTTAGAAAGCCATTTTCTAAAAATTGTGATACAAGTGCCAAAATCACTAAACATTTTGGGGAAGAATGTCCAACCGGGGGGTTTGGGGGGTATGGAATACTTCCTAGGGAAACGAAGGACTCAATAATCATTTCCTTCCACATACCATGAGATCTTCGGGGTGCAGAAGAGGTGTAAAATACGAAATAATTTATTAGAAAACGGGATTATGTTCTCCTAATACCAATTTCTTTTCCTGAAATTGACTTGCCCGGAACATGGAAGTATAAAAGTGCTGTAGCACATTAGGAAACGCGGTTCTACGTATGATGTTCTCCTAATTCAAGTTTCTACTTTAAAAATTAATTCATCAGGAGCACAGAAATACGGAAGAGGTGTAAAATACGTAGTACTTCATTAGCACCTTTTCACATATTATGCTCTCCTTTTATAAATGGGTAGTTGTAGGGTAGTCCTCCGACAGACGTTTCTTTGAGAAATGGCTGTATCAATGTTAAAAAAAAACCAAATAAATCACTGGCAAACATACGAATTTCTCTGCTAAAGATGTTTGTGTCAGGGTGACAGAAACAAATAGGCGATGAACATGCAAAACAATTTATTGGCAACTACAGTTTGGTGTGTTGTCTGTTCCTTACATGAATTCTTCTTTATAAATTGTACTAGGATCACAGAAAGAATAAATAGGCCAACATTTCTTTACATACCCCCGTTCTTGTACTAGGAAAACAAAATAGTATAATTAGAGGGATCATTTTTTTCAAAATACTAATTTGTTTATTAAAAATTGTATCAGTATCAGAGAAACAGGAGATTTGAACATTATATTCTCCTGTTACACCACGACTTAGAAACAGTGAAATAGAAATCTAGACAACGCATTGCGTTGCAGTTTCCTTCGCGTACACCTTCTCATGTGTCATGATCTCCTGTTACGAATCTTTGATAAGTCGCTAAGCAGGAGCGCAGAAACCCAAAAGTTGTAAATGAGTAACAAATTATATTTATATTTATTATTATAATTAGAGGGATCATTTTTTTCAAAATACTAATTTGTTTATTAAAAATTGTTGTAGCAGTATCACAGAAACAGGAGAGGTGAACATTATATTCTCCTGTTACACCACGACTTTAGAAACAGTGAAATAGAAATCTAGACAACGCATTGCGTTGCAGTTTCCTTCGCGTACACCTTCTCATGTGTCATGATCTCCTGTTACGAATCTTTGATAAGTTGCTAAGCAGGAGCGCAGAAACCCAAAAGTTGTAAATTAGTAACAAAATTTATTTATGTTTATTATTATTGGCAAGCACCTCCTCTCGTGTTGTTCTCATAATACAATTCGTACATTCAAAATGGCTGTATCAGAATCACAGAATTTAAAAAATGGGCAGTTTTTCTTTAATATCACCTGAATGCCATTGACCTGCAGTTTAATTGGTGGAAGTTTCTTGACAATCAGTCAGTTCAACGGTCGGCTGAAGGGTCAAAACTGATGTGAAGTATTAGGAGGTCATGAAATTCGTGATGAAATCTGCAAAACTAGATCTCTTGCGAAGGTTTCGCTATTTTCAACGGAGATTAGGATCGTCCTTTGCCCAAAAACCTCATCGTAAAGTGGGCACTCGAGCGCGTTTTGGCTCCGAGAACGTTCCTACGTATCTACCTATTAATAATGTAATTTATGGCATCATTTTGTCGCATTGTGTACGCGGTTATTACTTGCGAAAGTTGGCACGCGACCAGAGTCGTGTTTTTTTTTATTTAAATGCCTTGGTGACTACTAACCGCGAATTGTTGTTCGAAGAATTAAATGACGTTCGCTTTGCATTGGGAAGGAGGCGCCACCGGAGTCGGTGCAACGTCGTCGGTTCCGATGTGTCCTTTACCTTTTAAGTGCAAGGCCGGTTGGCATACGTTCGCCATTTGTTTTTGGACGAACCGGAGCTTCTAAATATAAACCCTTAGATCTAATTTTGGGATCAATTTTTTTCTCAAAATGTGAGAATTCTTAATCGCTCCTGTCACATTATAATTTATATAAATATCTATAGTCGCGCTCCGGTTCCTTATTCTTAATAGTTCCAAAAAACTTGGCCAGAAATAAAAGTTACAACTTACGAAAAATAGTAACTCCTTCCTGGACCCTAAACGACGATTGTTCCGAAAATACAAACGCTATCATCATGCGCTCCTGATAGCAAGTTTCCTGTTTAGATCATATTAGGATCTCAAGAATGGAAGAAGGTGTGATCTCGTGTTGTGCTCTACATGAGTCCCTTTCTCTTTCAAAAACTGATGTATTAGGATCGCAGCAAAACTAAAAAAAAAGAATAGAAAATAGGGAATAATTCATCACGCACCATGTCATGCCCTCCTAATTGCAATTGTCATATCAGGATCGGAGGAAGGTAGAAATGTTAAAGGCAATCGCGTGAATTGCGTTGGTTCCGTATAGGTTTTTCTGGTGGGCAACCGATTAGGAATTCGTGGTTGTTTAAAATGCGGCGAATTAATTTTTTTTACAATCGTGCAAACTGATAATGGACGTTATATTTGCGCGCAATAAAGTATTCTACGCGTGCGTTGCGTGATTCAAGCTGATGAAATGTTAACTTGGAAGTAATTAATCAACAAAGACGCACCTTGACATAAAGAAGGCTGAAGCTGTATGGATCCCGTAAGGAAATCTCTTCAATCTACGTATTAAGTACGCTGTCTGAACCACCTCATGTGACGAGATATGGATTCAAATTCTACTTTTTTTCTAGTGCAATGTAAATAAAAGATGCTGGTCTACTGTTGGTTTAAGGGGACGCTGGTCGCAGAAATTTCGTTGGTTCCGTTTTTGCATTAATATAAATAGAGACGCGCAAAGATGAAGACGCGGTATATGCTAAATATTTCGGAACTATTTCGTATTTAAAATGACCTGAACCGAGTTCCGACGGAAAAAATTATGTGATTTCCATAACAACGATACAATAAAAAAAAGTTGACGTGGGTTTTGCACCGGGAATTCCCATTGCGGCTACGATCGTGGCGAAGATAGTGACCGTTGCTTGAATGAGTTGCATTTTTTTCCTATTGTCAACGCCGTTTAGTTTATCATGTCAGAATCTGCAATTACCAAGAGGGCTAACCTTGACCTAGGGTAATTACTCATCAGGATTTAAATCAATTTTTGGTTTTCCTCTTTCTATAGTTTATTTTTCTAATTGTTTTCTTGTAATCA